CTTGGTCCTTTTTAACTTTACTACGGAAAGTTTGCTGAATATCTTTTGTTCTACATGTAGTTTCCTAATTAAATTGTAGTTGACCTCATAACATTAACATTTGCTATCTGTTTGTCCGCAGTGATTCATAAGCCACAAAAAGGAAAGACTTGCAATTTCAAATCTATACTTTTCTATACCATTCTGAGTACGCATCTCGAATTGTTTTCTCCAATAGCCATCTTCCTACTATCGATTATTTTCACACGGCTTTCTATTCTATAAATGCATGATGCAGACCTCAGGGTCTTAATCAAAAGTTGTTCAATAACAAATTTCCTGTAGTCGCAGGGTTCTGGACTCTAGCACTTCCCCCTGATGTCCTCCCACTTATTTAAATTAATAATCTACTTACCACAGTGTGTAAGAGAAGGAATAGATGCAAGCAATAAAATTAATGTCAATGTTAGCGTTTGCGTCATGTTTACAAATATAGATTCAAGGCATTCTATTTTTCAACATTTTTGTTAGAATTATAACACTTTCTATGAGTCATATTATATATAAAACATATACAACTATATTTAATTAATATTTCTGAAAGTGATAAGGACAAGACAAATCAGCTTTTCTCTTAAGCACTCAATAAAAATTACTTTCAAAGTGTGAACTTGACTAAAAGCAAAAGCAAACAAGGCTAGGACTGCCGATTGGTCCGTCTGTATGATCATTGTAAAACTATGGAAAATGGTAAAGTGGCAAAGTTCCCTCAAATAGTATATTTCCCAGAGAAGTGAAGTACAGTAAGATGCTGGAAAAGTCATCAACTAAGGCTTTTCAATATCGAGATTTATGCTTAACGACGGACGTTCACAAGAACAATTCAGATTTCGTGAAGAACATATGTAGAACACACATCCATTATTTCACTTTTTTAAGTCAACTCGGATTTACCTATTCTTCTTTAAAAAAAAAAATGGGAAGAGATTAGTTAATGAGAACGAACCCCAACGCTTTACTGCACAGCCAATCAAATCAAGTAGGCATTGAGTAAGCTAAGCTTGTGTATATCATTGCAAAATATTACTTAGACAAACTTCGACTAAGACAAAACAGTATACAAAATATGATATACAATCTTCCCGAGCACACACAGTAGAGATATGTGTTGGACTAGAAGTCGACAGATCGATCGTCTACAAGCAAACAGATATAATAATCTCCTTCTCTATTTGTAGCGTAAGAAGAAGGAAATAAATATTGTCATGTGGAGAGAGAGCGGGAAACCCGCTCAGTACAAAGAACAAAACAGCCGAGCGATAAGGGCGATAAGAGTCAGATTTATTTTCGGTACGCGTCCATTGGAAGATACATCTAGGCGAGCATCAAAACCGGCAAAAACATGACGCTGCGATAGCAAGTGCATAAGTAGCGAGTGTCCAGGGCGACAAGGTGTGGTCGAATGGAGGTTTTGCTGAAGCTGGTGCAGAGATGCCATAGATACCCAATGCCGAGTTCAAATCCCAATAATCAATTAGTAAACGTTGATTGTAAATTAGCAAACATTGACAGCCAGACTCGGGCCGCTTATCGCCCGCCCTGTGTCCATGTCAAGGGCTATCAATGCGCCCTCAGCCGGCAGCGGCAGCGGCATCGACATCGGCATCGGCATTGACTTCGGCATCGACATTGGCTTCGGCATCAGTACATTTCAGTCTCTGATCGAGACCGTTGATCGTTGTCATTGAATACGCTCGAACACAGACGTCCAGCAACGGTCCAGCTAAGCGGACGGACGCACTCCAAGGTATTATTATTATGTTCCCGCTGCTGAATCATTCGGTTCTTGTGGTTTGCCGTTGTTGCCTGGTGGAGCAGCCGCAGCACTGCCACAGCATCTGCGACAATGATCAACTGTTCAGCCAGCTGCTCGCCTTGTCGCCCACGCTACAGATTGTGCCCAGCGATGTCATCTGCCAGCTCTGCCTGCATCGACTCCATGACGCCCTTGACTTTCGACGCCGCTGCGAGGAATCGGAACGCATTCTACGCGCCCGGAACGAACAGGCGTTGGACGACGCACTCGAGTGCCTCGAACGTGAGGTGGGCTGCCTGGAGCAAGCTAAATCTAGGTCCATGTCCATGTCCATGCCTATGTCAGCGCTGCTGGAGCCAGTTGACTTTGGTAAGTCAGCCGAATAATTGATAAACAGACTCAACTAATTAGCCTAATCATGAGCATCACGAATGTGCGATACAGTTTATAAATCTTATCAAGAGTAAAATTTGCAAGCATAGCCCCATTATCAAGCCAACATCCGCTTCAATTAAACACAAGCCATGCTTAAACTTTACCTAACTAAAACTAGGAATTGTCTTTGTTAATTTATAGTAATACGGTTCAGAGTTCAATCAAACCCCAGTTCAGAAGTCATAAGCTATAGTCGATTGATTGCTTGCTGATTCACTTTGTCAGAAGGGCTTAATAATTCACCTACTATAATATCTCTTACCTTATCATATTACTATATCACGTAGTCATAGTGCTTGGGCTGCAGACTCTAGCAAGGGCTTTAGTATAGGAACTTTGTTCTCTCTTTCTACTCTCTTAGTGAAGTATTCCGAATCCGAAACATACCAAATCTCGCTGTTCATTCTAGGTAGCTACACAGTAAATCTGAAATCTAGAATCAAATCACAGATTTGAAAATGGGCTGTGTTAACAAAAATAATTATATGCTCATAGCAGGTGTGCTATTCAGCAATATATTTTTAAAATTTGAAGATTCTAGCTTTTGTAGACGGATGCAAGAAATTCCCATTTTCAATGGGCTCAAGCTATAAAAATAAAATTGATTTTCTCTTCTAGACTCATGAGCCTTAAGTGGGTTTTCTTTTCTTAAAGCAAAAAGTTAATATCCAGCTTAAAGATAAGGCACTTAGACAATTAATTCTGAGAGCTAGCCAATCAATAATCTCTATGTCGAAATCAAGATAACATCATCCCCTGCAATTTATATAAGATGGATTGAAGCAAAAGAAAATAAAGCTGTTTAAATACAATTCAATTGGAAGAGTTAAGTCCTGAACAGAGAGAAATCTTTGAACTGAGTTTTATAAATATAAATAAAAAGCGCATAAGCTGGGTACGTTTTAGGGACAAGCAGACACTCTGCAATCAGTTTTGACCAACTGCATTTTACTAGTTTTAAAGACATACAAAAATCACTAAAAACATAAAATTTGTAGGTCTAACTGTAAGAGAGCTCAACAGGTATCATCCTGTCACGCTCTCAGCAGTTTATCTATAATTGTTAGTTTACTGTGGACATATATCTACTTCCGATTTAGTTTAATTGCACACAGACAAACGAACAATACTCATATACTCGCTTCACTTGGTAAACGGGTATAAGAATAATATTTGAATAAATACAAATATATTAAGACAGCTGAGCCCTTCGCAGTACAGTCTTATTACTCTGGATAAGCTTGCAAAGTATCAATGCATATCTAAATATATTTTTTGCACTGCCCTTTAGGCAGCCTGGATCTGTCGGATTTGTTTCGGGGCAATCAGGAGCAGGCAAGCGCCAACTGGGACGCTGCTACGCTGAACACGCCTATCCATTTGCCAGGTAACCTGGAGCCAGTGAAGACCACCGAAGAAGTGGAGCATGAAGGGCAGAAAGAGGAAACGAACGATAGATCTGCTTGTATGCCAGAGCCAGTTGTTCCGCCACAGCGAAAGCGGCCGCCACGCAAGGTGGCAGCAGCAGGTGGCAGTGGAAAAGGCGGACGTAGCAGGACGCCAAAGTCGTTGTGTCCGTGCACCGAGTGCGAAAAGAAGTTTACGCGTAACTTTCAATTGAAGCTGCATATGATATCGGTGCATGGGCTGGGCGATGGGCTGCGCTATGAGTGCGAGGTGTGCTCGAAAAGTTTCGCGTCGCGCCACAGTCTGCGCTATCATTTTACATCGCTGCACTCAACAGAGCGACCCTTTGCCTGCGAACTGTGCGACCGACGGTTCGTGCTGCGCACCCAGCTGATCTCGCACGCCCGGATGCACACGGGCGAGACCAAGCCGCGCATCTTCGATTGCAATGTGTGCGGCAAGACGTGGCCAACCAAGTCGGACCTGCGCACCCATCTGCGCTCCCACGATCCGGACATGTCCAAGCGACCCTACAAATGTGATCAATGCAACAAGGCCTTCTTTACACGGGGCCATCTCAACTCCCACCACTTAGTGCACACCGGCGAAAAGCCCTACGCGTGCACGTACTGCGACAAGTCTTATCAGAGCGTTGGCAATCTTAACAATCATACATTGAGGCAGCACTCGAATCTGATTGAGACGCAGCTGAATCTCAAGTACACCGACTTTGAGAGCTAAGCCGCTTGCCATTCATTTCCGTTTGAGAACTTCAATTAAAAAGAATTTTTAGCCCCTAGAAATTCAGTTGCATAAATATTTCTGCATCAAATTTGCCAGGTAATTAATATTTTGTTAATTTCTGTATCTGTACGTATATCTGTATATAGGCCAGGTGGAAGTATTAGCTTTTTCAACAGAAATATTGAAATATAAATATAAATACTACTAAATATTTACATATATATAGCTAATATATTCAAATAAAAAAATATATATATATGTATTATATATTATATATTTTATATATATATTTTTATATTTTTATATATAAACCAAAAATGGAGCAAGGGCAACAACAATAACTTAAATTATTTATTAGGAATATTAAAATTAATATATTTATCATAAAAACTAATTAGAAGATAATGGAAAAGTTTCAAATTTTAATTCAAATTGTTTATTAAAATTTATATATTTATCATAAAAATGAATCAAAAGAAATTGTACAGGTTTCAAATTTGAATTAAAATTATTTGTTATTATTAAATATTTCCTAACTTCATCTAAATTTGCAAGAATATTATATATTTCCATAAGGCCTTGAGATCATATAAAAGCTATAATATATATAAATAAATTCATATACATATATAAACAAGAATATATTAATCATTCTAAGTAAATATATATGAATATTGGTTTTTTGATAGAAGCACGCGCTTAAAAGCTTATGAAACACCCGGCTTATCGCTTCGTAAAACATCTTTGTATATTTTTTCTACATTTAATATGTCTATTTATGTATGTGTACAACATTATTGTTAAGTACAAAAGTGAAATATATACAATTAATTATAAATAAAAATTAAAAGTATATATTTGCCAAAGATCACACAAAAAGGAAAATAAATTAATAAATAAATATACAAAAGAGATCGTTGAAAAAGCGCAAGTAATGTTTCCAGTAATTTCGCTAGCTTTTTTTCTTTACTTATCATTCAGTTATAATACTCTATAGCGCTCAGCGTGTTATGTGAAAGTCTACAGAGCTCGCTGGCTTTAATCAAAAAATTTGAAAATTATTTTACAAACTAAATACAGAGCTCTAGACTTTTCGAAATTTAAACTAAGTAAACTACTCCAAATTTGTATTCTTCAAGCTTCTTGCCTATGTTAGATCATATAAAATAATTTTAGAAAATAATATAATATATATATATATATATAAATATTTTTATTTAATTTTGTAATTATAAAAGAATTAGTCTACTTTTTTTAAGTTAATTAGAAGAGTTTTAAGTAATCAAAGAATTAGTCGACTTTTTTTTTTAAGTTAAAACAGAATTTTATGCTTCTACAATTCCCTCTCTAACTGTCAAACATACACTGGTCGGTATATATATTTTGACATAGCGTTGCCTTTATTTTATTTTATTTTCTTTTCTTATTATTTCTTATTTCAAAAGCAATAAATTCTTAATTTCATTTTTTTATGGTTACAGTGTAATATAATAAAATTATAAATTAAATTTTTTTTCAAATTTAACATTGATTTTAATTTTTTTTTCATATAACTATAAAAAAATAAAGAAATTCAATAGTGGCATATATATTTTGAAATTGTTATTTTTATGTATAAAATTTTAGGTAGGTCTACGTAGGAGGTTAGCATTCAAATAAATATAATTTTTGATCAATTTTAAAAGCGCATCTGCAATAACTGAATTAGTCTAATTTTGAACGCTGGACTGTTGCATATAGAAACTTAAAAATAATATAAATAATATGAACAATAATAATAAATAATAATAATAATTTGAATAAAACATTTTTGAGTGTGACTTAGAAGCGTGTTAAGCTGGAAAAACTATATCTTCAGTGCAAATTGAGCAGCAAAACTGAAATTAAAAATTTGAAATTTGAGTTAAATTCGAAAATTGGCCAAGCGTGCAAATCAATATATAATATATTTTACACAGAGTTCATGAATCAATTAGCAGAAGCATCACCTGCCCCACAGATGAAGCTAAGCTATTTATGTGACAAGTGTGTCAAGTGAATAAATATATATACATATAATAAATACATGAATATTAAAGTGACAAAGTCTTTGCCTTAACGCTGCAAAGTAAAACTTATCAGCACGGAAAATGCCGCAGCCCAATAAAATATTTATAGAGCATACTGAGTACGACTGTCTTCGTTGAGCTTTGAGTTCACACTACATAGGCACATATAAATTTTTATATATACGTATTTATATATGCGTATACCGGGCCCACTATCAACGCCTTTAATCAAAACAAGTGCCCGACTGTCTGATCGTAAACAAGCATCCAGAGCAGAAGACACATTCACTTGCAAAGACAATTTTCATTTGCTTCAATTACAAAATGACCAAGGAACAACAACAACAACAACAACAACAATTCAAAAGTGGCATAGTAACGAGACATGTCATAATTATGAGCTACACAAAAAGTGTTAATCCAATTAACTTTGATTTAACACCGGGAAATGACCGTCGTCGAATGGCCTAGGTCAGCAGAGTCCAAAGAAGCTCGTGAGCTGCTCTTCAACTGAGTCACTGTCGATAAGGTAGGCTTGACACCTTCGCCAGGCAAATCGTATAGTATACAGATTGTTGGCTATTTCTATAAAGTAATTGTTTGTATGCCCATTCACAGATTCATATAATTAGTCATACATCAACACGTGTGTCCTCCAGCTAAGTACAGCCAGACATTGACCCAACCCTACCCAGCTTCCAGGGTTCTGCCTGTGTCTGCGACTCTCACCTCACGTAGTAGCCAAGACGTGATCTTTGTGTTCTAGCTGAGTGTGTGTATTTCACAAATTTCACAAAGACAATTGAAAACTTTCTAGAATTTCAATTTTTAGCAAGCTAATTTTCAAATTTTAGAATTTAGCACTTTTATTAATTTTTAAAAAATTCTATCTCTAAGGCACTAGAATTTTATAGTCAACTTAACTTCGTTTCAAAATTCAATGTCTTGTGCGCTTCAGGGCAAACTTTATCTTGCACAGCTTTGAAGACAGATTACTGTGGGGTCTTCTCAGCGGATTTACGAGTCGGAAAAAACTTTATCTTTCGCAATTTTGAAGACAGAGTACTATGGGGTCTTCTCTGCAGATTTACAAGTCGGAAAAAACAAATTCTTTCCACATTCTTGGTTATTGTGGCTAGCCACAAGTAGACTTAATGTTCTAGAATTAATTAACTTATGCTTATAATCTGCTCCACAGTTAGACCTATGAGTTGTGAATTTGCATAGACTTAAAGCAGCTTAAGCCTTGAGCCACTTGAACAATCTGAAATCTGTTATGCTTACAAAATAACTTCCAATTTAGCTACCCAGTTTTGCAAGGCTTTCTCAATTCAAAGCGACCATTTGAAGTTTATTGCCAAGAAGCTTAACAACAAATTAATTTTAAGTTCAACAAACTCTTTCTAATCAATTGCTGCTTATCTATTATACATATGAGTTGTTTAGCAGTTGTTGAGTCTAACGCAGATCCCTCCACTTCGACTTGAATTTCTCTTATTTATTTCACATGATAACAACAATTGCACACTTAGTAATTATTAACCCAATTATTCGGGCTTTATTTTGGTAGTTACTTGGGGAAGTCTTTTGCTGTACGTGGGTTGCAGAGCAGGCGCTGCAGCTGCAAGTGCTGCTGGGCGTGGAAGCTGTGCGATGGCTGCTCCACGGCCGACTCGGGCGTCACAGACTGGCGCACGAGTTCTCTGAGGCTGGCTGAGATCTTGGCAGTGCGGAAGCGCGCCTCGTGCTTTCGCTGGCGGCAGTCGGCGAAGCGTTGCGATTGCTGTCGCTTGCGCTGGATGTCCTGCTGCAGTTGCTCGCGCTTCAGGCGCTCCGTTTGTTGGCACGCGCGCCAGTGCTCCTCGTGGTGCAGCTGCTCCAGCTGATTGTCATGCTGCAGCCGCTTCAAGTAGCTCTCCAGTAGCTGTGAACGCAGCTGATCCGCATGGCGCAGTCGCTGTGTGAGCCGCATGCACGTGTCACGCTTGCGCAGCGTCTCATCCAGCTGCTGCTCCTCCTGCTGCAAGTTGACCGCTTCGCTGCGACGAGACTCCTCGCAGCGCCGCTGGCAGAGCGTCATGTCGCGCTCCAAGCGCATTGCCGCCAGCCGCTGCTTGGCCGCCGTATCCTTAGCGTCCAGGGCGCCACGCAGACGCCGCAGCTCGGCCAGATCGCGTTCGGCCAACGCCTGCAGACGCGCCTTAGTCACCAGATAGTCCTGGAACTGTTTGTCGTGCACGGCCCGTTTGTACTCCTCCAGCTGCTCGCACTTGAGCAGCTGCCGCTCCAGTCGCTCGTTCTCCCAGTACTTTCGTGCCAGCCACGACTGCTCCTTGTCCGCCGCTCGTTCGCTGCGCTTGACCGCCATCCGGTTGAGTATCCTTTGATCGTGGCTGGGCACCTGCGCGTAGGCAGCGCGCACGGTCGGCTCCAGGCACAGGTTAGCCATCGAGGCACACAGCGAATTGCGCGCCTGCCTCTGACCCAGCGGCACTAGCGACATGTTCTCCTGCGACTTTGACTTCGCTCGGCTGCCGCTGATGCCCAGCGTCGAGCCATCACTGCCCCGCAGCGAACCAAACACAGTCTACAATGAGATATAGAAAAGATTTATGATTCTGATATTAATGCTGTGAACACATTGAGCTGCAATTTTGAAAATATTCAGAAATATTTGGAGTTTGCCTTTGGTGTATCCCAGGCATCTTCATTTGGAGCTACATGCGAATCTTTGTCTGGCTTTGTCTTTCGAGCAGTAAGCGCAAATAATGTGACAGATGAGTCGCATTTTAATAATTTATATATATATTATATATATCATTATATAGCCTGTGTTAGCATATTCTTCAGAAAATAACTTCACTTGGAAGCAAGCAAGGTTTATTTTGTGATTTCCAATGGGAAACGCTTCATAAAGTCAATGGATCTTCTGCTTTCTTTATTAAAGGTACTGCATCTGGCAGTCTGTACCTGCTATCAGCTCTACTGTCTTCAGTCTGTACCTGCTATCAGCTCTACTGTCTTCAGTCTGTACCTGCTGTCAGTTCCAGCACCTTCACTAATCTGACTCTTCTGGCCACTGGCAATACGACCATCTGAACCGCATCAATACGATTTCAGCTGCTCGAAATGAAGTTATTTTCTTTTTGTGTTTACCAATCTATAACTATCTGCATTTAGATCTGAGATGCTATCGAGCCTGCTGAATTGTCTTCTGGTCTGAATTGTCTGCTGGTAGAAATGCCACAATTGCAGCTCAATGTGGCTAATATTTTGATTTAAATATATATATATATATATATATGCATATATATATATATATATGAAATATATTTAAATACGGAACTTCAAAAGAATTGTTTTTTTTCTTTCCAATATTCAGCTTAGTGTACGTCCGTCCAGCCGTCAATTTGACTGTCTGTCCGTCCGTACGTCAATATTTTGTTAGTCCGTCCATTAGTCCGACCGCCGTCCATTAATCCAGCTGTCCGCTCGTCCGTCTATCTGTCTGTCTATCCGTCCGCTCATCCTTCCCACCGCCCAAGACAATTGAAATTTTAAAAATTTATTTGATTTTTATGGATGTGACTAGGGTTGCGTTACCTCGCGAATTACCACCACTTGCAACTGTTTAATTCGCTGTTGAAGCCAGACATAAGGTATATGTGTGTAGATCATGCCCCACTTAAAATATCTTATAGCCATTGGGTAACACAGTTTTAGAAGTACAACTGCAAGACTGGAAATGTGGATTACTATCAACCTATCTTAATCCAGCTTGTCAAGTCGATAGTTCCTATAAAGACTTTAGTAAATGGATTTAATACGAATATGGCTTAGTATAAGAAAATTTGTTATGAAGCCTTAGATAGCCTTAGATAGCTTTTACTAGTCAAAGTCTCTTTTACTGAAATCGCTAACTGCCTAGAATCACTTTATTTGTTCCTCTTATAGCAGTTTGGAGATGCTGAAATGACTTTAAACTGAATTTCAAGATTCGAAATCGCAATGGAAAACAAATCAAGTCCGAAAGAAAATTATTTCTTTTGTGGGCGATTCGGAAATGCGGATGCTTAAAGCTCTTGGACTCAGCTCAAATGAAAAGCTGAAGAATTAAGTAAAATGAAATTAAGTAAAGTCAAATGAAAAGCTGAAGAATTAAGTAAAATGAAATGGATATTGCAAGCGACTAGATGAGACACTGAGACATGTCAGAGGTGTCAGGCCTTTGTCCTCGCTCTTCGTCCTTTGGGTCACACTCACCTGCAGCATTTGGCAGTCGCGCACGGCAGTCGTGCGTCCAGCGCGCTGCTTGGAAGGTTTGGCTTGCAGCCGAAGCTCCAGATGCTCCTGTCTGGACTGGCTACGTTGGCTGCCCGCACTCTTGGAGCGCCTGCCTCTGGAAGCTGTAGAGACGCGAGTCTGGCACTCGGCCGAGCCGCGTCGACTGTGCGCAGTTTTGGGCTGTTCGGAGGGGGATTTGAGAGCGCTTTGGCTGCGAGCTCGACTGCTGTCCCTGTTTAGACTGTGCTCGCTGCGCTGCACTTGCTCCAAGGCGCGTATCTGAAGATCCAGTTGTTTCAGCTGCGACTCCGTCTTCGCTGACGAATGTCCATGTCCACGTCCACTTGCATTGCTGCTGCTGTGCGAACTGTAGCAGTCACAGTGGCAGACACCGCAGCAGCTATCCGCCAGCTCCAGTGCTGCGACCAGCTGTTCATGTTGCTCCTTGGCGCGACTCTTGCCACGCTGTCGTTTCCGCTTCGGTGTCATCGTGCTCAGCAATCCATCGCCCGCTCTGCATGCGGGCCAAACTCCTAACTCTTGCCTCTTAACTGGCACAGCAATGTCTGCTGCATTCAATTGGACTTTTGCTATATTTTTTAATCTGCCCGTAAACCCAAATTCCTGCGCACCTGCAATAGCATTTTTTAACTTCTATTTGGTTTTGTTTACTTTTTTATTGATTGGCCACTCGCCCGTTGCCCCGGACAACCAACGAGTTCTTGAGTTATTTTTATTTTGATTGGCGCGCTGCGTTGTGGTGCTTCTTCTTACACTTAGTAAACAGAGTATATTGGCTTTGTGCAATGCACGTCTGACCGTAGGAAAAAAAGTCTGCAGTGAAAATATCTACGATCATTAAGAGCCTGGGACAACTATCATAGGCTTGGAATGACATATAGATGCCTCTTTGTAGCTTGCCAAATCGAAAAAGGCTATATCTTGGAGCTGGCTCAGCTCAGTGTTCGGTCGGTAGCACCCGAGTGCCGCGTTCTTACTTCTATTTTTGCAACTTTTTCGAGGTTTTCGGCTGATATTTCTGCCGGAAATTAGCTGTGCCAATTAGAAACGGAAAAGTGAAAGGAGCCCTCAACGAAGGACAGACAGCAAGTTGTGTTTCAGCTATTTAGAAAGTTGCCACAAACTTCACGCACGCAATGCTAACAAATCTGACAATCGCTAAAAACTACAAGCTTTATATTAGAATTATTAATTTGGAATCTAAACCCGAAACATATATGCATTGTTCAGGCAAAAACCTTTAGCATAATACTATATCATTTTATGAACAACAATTGTTTAAACTATAAACATTATAAGAAAACTTGGTCTAATACTTTGCTTTTCAAACATTTATTTATGTGTATATTTAATATATTATTTTCAATAAAATAATTAACTGTTATATGTATACCGATCTCTGATATAAATAACAAGAAAACATTTTAAATACACATTTGTTTCGCATAAATTCCCGACTTCATATTAATATGAATGAAGTAATTTAAATACAATTACGCTTTTCAGTTAATAATAGATAATTGGCTTAGTTAAACATTCTCGAATAGGAGTAGCTAATAATTTACACAGATACACGATACACGATACACGATTTACACCATCAACGCTTGTCCTAATACTGACAATAACAACGGAATAAATTAATAATAATAAAATAATCAAAAATACATATCGTTCAATCTTCTAGAAAGTAATATTGCTCGGTTCGTCTGTTTTTGTTGTTCATTTGAGGTTAGTTTTGGTGTGGTTTATATATATATATATATATCAGAAAAGAAAACGAAATGCAGATGTTCACACGAAATGACTATTCGAAAACTAAAGGAATCGTGGTGAACGGAAGCACCGGACAAGACGGCTCCAATTGCAGCGACGTGGCAAAACAATCGGCGGATGAATTGTAATCTCCTAATGTTTCCATAACCTGGCCCAGCGAGAACCTAGAAGATAGCCAATTGAGCCAATTAGACATGGTTTGATAAGCTAAGTGAAACACTTGCCAAATCTTTGGACAATTGGGATCCAATTTAGCAGCATCCTTGAGCATTTTTTCAGCCAGCCGTGGTTCGCCCAATATTAAATGCGTTTCGCCTAGAGCACGCAAAGCTTCGGTATGATTCGGATTGGCGGCAACGGCATTCAAGAAGCATTGCTTCGCATCCAGCCATTGCTCCAAGTACACATGAACCTGACCGCGCTGCAAAGTGCGTGTTAAATATGTTTTACTCTTAGTGACGATATATCTCACCATAAACATGATCTGATGCGAGAGTGGATATATTTGCGTGGCTTCGTGTATGCAATTGAGCGCCTCATTCGGCTGATCGATGCGCATATAGACATCAGCGAGCAGCAGCCAGATCTATATGAAGCGAATATTAAATTAGTGAGTAGATATTTGAATGTATATCTTTTTACAGATATGATCGATCAATAACTAACCTCGATTTGCAGCATCCAGGGACGGCGCGGTCCCGGCCTTTGTGTAAACGAGCTCAGCGAGCTGGCCGCCTCACTGAGAGCCTGCTCCACGCGCGATACTGCAGCCAGCGAAGCAGCATAGACAGAATCTTGAAGTTGCAATAACAAGTTGGGAATTACAAATGAAATCAAAGTGAAATATATCAAAATTAGCCAACGGCAATCCGAATTAGGGAGTATTTTAAAAACAGAAGTATATACAATTAGTACAAGTGCCTAAGTTTAAAGAAAAGCATGCGACAGGATGCAAAAGTTGAGAGCATTCAAGATAGAAGAATGTAAACAAGAGAAGATGTGAAAGGCAGAGAAAGAGAAAGAGAGAGAGAGAGAGAACCGCAATGCAGAAGCATAAAATAAAGCAATTTGTACATTTGCAAAGACATATGAATATTATACTCTTCAGTTTGAGCTTAAACTACTAGAGATCAGCTGAAATTATATTAGATTTTAACAAACATCATAGTTCTTCGATAACGATTTGCATACGACAAAAGTTTGGACACATTTCGCTTATTACTGCTTAGATTCTTTTTTTTTTTTGGTTCAAAGTTCAAACTGTATGTATATGAATTTTTAGTACTCAATTCACTTATATAATACTTGAGCTTATAGCTACTTTCTATCGCTCTATCATCAATCGATTATCCTTCTAAGGGACACTTCAGCAGTGACTCAAATAAATATTAATATTAACAATTTCCATCAGATATCAGCTTTGCAAGCGCACAACAAAGTCGACGCAAGCCGACGTTCGAGTTAAATTGGTTTAATTTGCAATTAAGACTTACAATTATGTTTTATGTTTTTTATGAATTGGATTTTTTAGACAGACACATTCCGCAGAAGTTTGTAGTTACATAGATGTAATAGATTTATATGTATATGTGTAGGTATGTGTTTGGTATTTATACAGAATATATAGTTATTATTAGTGGCAGGTGTTGTTCTTGTTGTTGTTGTTGGGTCTATGGCGATGCAATCGCATGGCAAACACTTACTCGAATCCTTGTCAGACATTTGCGATGAGTGAATCAAGTGGATGCCGCTCTTGGTATCCGAATGCTTTTCCTCCTCGCCTGCCAGCTGCGCCTCGTACACCTCGCGCCAGACGGCGAGCATGTGCTGCACTGTGGACAGCGCCGTCTCGGCATCTTCCAGGTTCAGTTGGAGATGTGCCTTTACATGCAGCAGCTGCAAGTTATCGGGAAACTCATGCAGGGCATCCTCCACCACGCCCAGCGCCTCGCGCGGTCGTCGTGAAGCTGTCAACAGCAGAGCAAACAGATGCAGACAGGGTGCATGCTCCATGCGTAGAGCCAATGCAAAGCGAATGTGACTCAGAGCCTCGCCTAGCTGATTGAGCAGCGCATATTGCAGGGACAGATAGTACTCGGCCAGGTGGTCGTTGCCATCGTGCTGGACGGCACGCTCTAAAGACTCTAGCGCTAATTTATTGTAACTATCGCGATCGCTCTTGAGCGTGGCCTGTATGGCCAGCTGCTGATGGCCAATGCCCACGAAGAGTTGGCTTCGGGATGGCCGAAGACCTGCGATATGAAATAGCGGCAAATGTAAATTATAAATCAACTATTTTGTGTCCTGCACTCACCCTTAACTTCCCGCTTGAGCGCCTGCTGCGCATAGTCGAGTCCCTGCTTTACCGTCTCCAGACTCTCGTAGCAGAGGCGCGAGGCCAACAGACAAGGCAACGGATCTCCCGGCGTCAGTTTAATCGACTCCTGCAGAACACGCAGCGCATGCGCATGCTTTTCCGCGGCCATCAAACTAAGTCCGTATTGCCGCCAGACGTGCTGCTCGCCAAAGCTGAACTTGAGGGCCTTTTCGAAGGATTCGTTGAGCAGCTGCACCAGACCCCAGCGTATCGTGGCCAGCGTCAGCAGATCGTAGACAGCCGTTACATTGCCCATGGCGTGTTGTCGCGCTTGCTTAAACTCTGGACTTTGCGATAGTACGGTGTCCCGAACAGCAAGTGCCTCGGCAATCAGGAGCAGGAGAATGACCTCCTCCTGTTGATTGCGTGGCGTAAATTGCTGCCTGGCTGCATATTTGCGTGGCTTCCATAGCCGTTTGGTGGCGCCGCCGCCACGCAAAGTACTGCCACCCGACTTGGTGGTAAAAGGAGGCGCATAGATTGTGCCCGACACTCCACGGAGCAGCACCTCGGCCAGCTGACGGGCGAGCGTCAAACGCAACGATTGCGTTGCTCGCGTCTCAATGGCATTTAGCATTATGCGATATCTTTCCACAGCTGCTTGCAGCTTGCCCGCCTTTATTAGAACAATGGGCGCCCGCTGCAGCGCCGTCTCCAGTATGGCGCCCATACGACGACTGACCTCCAGGGTTACACTGCTGCTCGGGATGGTGCTGCTAATGGCAAAGCTACTCAACGATTGCTGCACGCCGACATTCAGTAAGGAGCCCGCGGTCGAGTTATTCGAGGAGCTATTACTTCCACTCACAATATCATATTCCTGTAGGTAGAGCAGACCCAAATCAGAGGCGCGCTCGAAGCAGCAGATCTGTGGTAAGGCGAATACGTTTGTTACACTCCATTCAGTAAATATGCTTAAGAAGCAGCTGTTGCTTCACGGTCTCACCATTTCCGTATCCTTCTCGGCCTTTTTGAACTTGGACGTGGGTTTGTATGCTTGCTGTTCCAAGCAGAGTCCCTTAATAGCATACGATTCGGCCAAGATCTTCAAGCTGCGCCTGTATCAAATGAAGTATATATGCATAATTATATATCTATACATTTAAAATAAATAATATATTAGATATGAATTGTTTACAGCGTCAACTCCTTTTCAGCCAGCGTATTCAGCTCCGCCTTGATAAAGTTCTCCAGACTCTGCTCGTATTCGCCGCAAGCATAGCAAAGCTTGGCTAGCAGCAAATATGCATCCAAAGCTATGCCCGCCTTCTGGCCACTCTCCCCCAAAGCTAGATTCAAGTAACGTCTGGCTTCAGCCAGGCCATTTTTGGCACGGCCAAAGTTCGATTCGGCGGCCACGGCATGCTCTTCCAAATAGCTTTCCAGACGTGCCTCGCCTACCAAAAAATTGGCCAAGCATTCTGTAAAGCAGGTTGGGAATTGACTGATTGATTTACTTTACTTTATTTTATTGTAGTATCGTTTACCGTTATGTGGCGATCCCGATTTCAGCTCGTCCGTCAGCTCGATAACGCGCTGCCATTTGCCTTCGCTGCGACAGCTCTCAATGAGAGCCTCGACCTTGGTCGTGTTGGTGCGCGTGCGATTGGCCATAACGGTTAACTAGTTATGCGGCCAGCACGTTTGTCGCTTTCCAATTGGTATTATAATTTAAACTTATAATTCAATTACAATTTTCTGTAATACACTTGAACGCACAGTATGTGTAATTAAAAGTGCAGCGTTGCCACCTGCTGGGATTCCAAGGTTACGCGAACGTTCTCTTTCTTCTTACGTCACACACTCAATATCTATTAGTAAATACAATTTTGAATATATTTTCTATGAATAATAGCATTTAATATTGAAGCCATTTAACTATGTTTTAAAATGCCGGTCTTAGTAATTAATTGTCTTATAAGTTTTAAAGGAACTATTGCCTCATTCGACCTATGACATCATGCATTGTGGAACACGGCTTACACGAACGTGCACAAAAGGTTAATCTTCTAACTACTTTCATGGGAAGGCTGCCACTGCATAAACAGCTGCTTGTCAAAGCCAGTAATTTTTAGCCCTTCTCAAAATAAATGTTAGTATTTTTCACTCAATTATTTGAGATTTTTTTGCTTGTGCAGCACAGCCACTCCCAATGCAGTTCCCATTTTGTTGTTGTGTGATACGCATGCTTTGTGCTCGAATTTTCCGTAGAATATGAAATAAGTATAAATGCGGCATAATAGTGACAACATTTAACGTTTTTAAAGCGTGCAGCTTGTGTGCTAAACAAATAAAAAAAAAACGAAAAAACTAAAGTTGACAATTTAATGTAGAAGGTGTTAAATTAACTATTAAAATTCAATTGTGTTTTATTAAAAATTTAACTGAATTTCGCTGTGCAGCACTTCTAAAACAAACGGTAAGACGTTGTGTCTGTTTATATTTTGCAATTTAGCTAAAAGCACAAATACATGCGCACTTACGCCCCATAGCGCAGTGTGACCGTAAATACCGTGCGTATGTAAAAGCGAATGTTTGTTTGTATGTTTGCATGTGCCGCCGTTTGGGCTAACGCTCAGCTGTTCACTTAACTGTTTCCTTGTTGTTGTTGTTGTTGTCTGTTGGCTGCGGACGCCGCAATCAATGCATACACACATATACATGAATTATATATATATATGTAAAATATATATATAAATGAGAGTCTGTATGTGTAAGTGTGTATTCAGCCCACTTCTGAGAAAGTGAGAGTATTTTTGACGTGCAATTAATTACGTGTATTTATTGCAGTTTATTCATTTGATTTAACGCAACAATCGTATACACACAGACATTCATAAGCACTTAACCATAAGCCCTTCTTATTGGAAAGCTGTCATACACACCCACATGTGCTTTCGATTTGCATTTACCGCTTGCTGGCATTTTAGTCAAGTTCAATTATTGCAATTCGTAATTTTTATTTTCTGCCAATTTTACGCTCCATTTGACCAGCAAAAAAGAGCGCGCTCAGCTTTTATCGCGTGTCTTGTCGAAGTTTAAGTTAATTGCCTGAGCTTTTTGCATGTCATTTCGTTGACTCAGGCCCATTAGCAATTCATTGCATTTTCTAACAATAAAAGTAACAAATAATTACTTAAAACAAGCATTTGAATGCAAATTGGAAATATGTCAAATTAAAAGTAGGCATATGACCGAAAATTCTTGTCAATGCGCGCCAAATTTAAATCAAAACAAAATCCGAATAGCGGTAATGGCTGACATTTTAAATGAGTATTGCGTGTGTATGTTGCGCTGACTGTGTGTGTGTGTGTGTGTGTGTGTGAATTCTCAACAACGATTTTACATGCTTGTGACGTAATGACAATAATTACAAAGCGAGTAAGCAGTCTGAAAGTCAGGGAGACGACAACATGGGCAGTAAAAGGATGAGTAGAAGTATCATTATGCCAAATAAAAGAGTACACAGTGGTATGCAGCTGTTGAAAAACGTGTCATATAGATGTGTTAAGTGAAAATGAGCATAAAGCTGCTAAATCAGGAAATTAACAAATTTGCTACAAAACTAAATTTTTTAGATATATATGTATATGTATGTATATTTTAGATATGTGTGTATGTATCTAATTCACTCACTTCAAGAGATGTGAATGAACAGAATTTATATATATATATATATATATATATATATATATATATATATATATATATATATATATATATACGTTCTGTTCTATATATATATATATATATAAATATATATATATATATATATATATATATATATATATATATATATATATATAGAAAAGAACGTATATATATGAGCACGCGCTCATCTCTAATTTGCATAAGCACACACACAGGAGCTGTTGCACTGTGCAACAAGCAGCTCTATTGCTTTTCGCAACTCTGGTTGCTTTGTGCAATGCCAGCAGGTGGCTACGACTTGGGTGTATATAGGGTGCATGGGGATGTGAAGTGAACAATTGTTTAGTGCTTAGAGAGGCGCCATAGCCGTTGCTGCCATTAGAGAAAAACATGCATGCTGCGCTTAACGGCATATGTTCGCCAACGTCGTCGCTGCTCAAGCGCAGTCGAAGATGTGGGACACAGACAAAGTGGAAGAACAGTGATGTGAGACAGGCAGCAACACAACCAGTGCAGAGAGTGTGTTAAAGCGTTCGCGAATCGAAATATGTCCGCTCGCTCACCTAATATATCGTTCTCTCTTTGACTCTTTTAAGTGTGAAACATTTTGGCATGTGAAACGAACATTTGCAGCTATGTTTTTAAGGAGTGCAGTTGTTAATGCTGTGCAAGCTCCTCTTGTTACCGTTTTATTTTTTCTGTTTCAACAATTGTGTTTTTTCGTTTGTTCTGTGCATCTCTGTTTACTTTTGTTGTTATAGCATCACGTTTTGTTGTTTGTGAGTTTTTTATTCGCATGCGACTCTTTGGTTTTGCGTACTCGTATTCATTTGCTTGTTGCTTTTTTGGCAGGTGCCAACCTCAGAAGCCAGCTCCCTCCTTGAATTCGCAGCACGCTTATTATTTTGGTACGTCAGTATATCTTTCGATTTGTCTTATATATACCCTGTAAAACTGATACGGGGTTTAAATATTTAATCAAATAGTAATAAATTAACATAAAATATTTACAAATGAAATGGATTCTATATATATAGGTATGTTTTATTATTCTTACAGGATATCTAATAGTTGGGCAGATATGGGAAAAAAAGGCATGTACATATATTCACATGTTATCTAAGATCAGATAAAAATTAATTTGCCAGGGTATCATTAGCTGGTCATTCTCAGACATTACCTGCATTAGCCTTCCAGTCACGCGTCTGCTGCGACAACTTTAAGCACGTAACTCTGCCATTTAATATGTACATATATACATACATATATTTTGCGCGCCATTTTATGTGCTCTCGCTGTGCCTATGCTGTCTGGCAAGCACCCCCGCGTCAACCCTCTCGTCGCATAACATGTTCTCTTTAGCATTTGGATGGACACATCTGCTGCCGCCCGTTACCCTTTCTCTTTCTTTTTAACAATCTTCCTCTCTTCAAAACTCTTTTCGGTCCGGCGCTGTCGCGCAACGCTTAGCAAATTACATGTTGTCAAACGCTTTTCTTGTGTTTTTTGTTTCTTTTTCGCATTTTCTTTTTGCTCTTTAATGGACCTTTGAAGCTAAAGCTAAAGCTTTGATGACCTCGTTTTTTAGATGGCATCTGAAAAAGTATCTTCCTCTGCTCCCCCATGGCCCGCCTCTAGCGATAAGGTATTCAGCTGTGGAACATTTCTGGGCTTGTATTCAATTTACATAGGATTTTTGCTCTCATTATCCATTTTCATACTCAATCACTAACTGAAAGAGTATATTGGTTTAGTAGAATGTCCGTTCAAACCGTGAGTTCAAAACCGATTTAACCCCCGCCCCTTTCGTGGCGTGCCATATCGAAAATAATCCGTTTTCTCGCAGTTTTGGATCCGTAGCCCCTTCATTCAACAGTTGTGTTACTGGAGGCCTCTTCTAATCATTGTCCAAAAATGAGGTCCCAATCTACTGGGGGCGTGGCAAAACGGAAAACACAACAGCTGAGAGCTTTTAGACCGTTAATGAGTATTCTGTAGTCGGTAGCACCCGGTTGCAGCGTTCTTACTTTTTTTCTTGTCATGTGTTTCGTTTGTTCGTCTGCCGTTGCCAGTCTCTTCGTCATAAACAAGTGCCAAACATAAGCATGGCATACATTTTGCCGACTCACACACTCGAAAAAACACACACACGCACTTATCTATCAGCATCTTGCGCTCTGTTTGTAACGACCACGCTCTCCCATAGCAGCATATGCCTTCTCTTATCCCATACTTTCTTGCTACAGCGCGACTATCAATAAAGTTCGATTTCGCTGTGTTTGCGTGTGTGTAAGCGTATATGTGAGCATGTTTGCATGTGCATGTGTGTGAAAAGCTCATAAATCAAGTTAAGCAAAACAAAAGAAAAAATTGAGAACTTTTGTACTTACAGTGCCGAAAGCTAAATACTCTGATTGTTTCATAGCATATTTATATATTTAAATGTGAATAAATCTAAAAAATAAATATTTTGCTTAATTTGAAACATACTATAAGCATACACCTATATAGATATCTATTTTATAAGTTAGCTTAGATATCATCTTTACTTTTATTTTTTACATTACAGAATCAATACGCCTTTGGCAGATATGAAAAGACGAATAATACAGGGTAGCAACAAACAAAACTAATAAATTTATGTTTGGCCACGTTCTATGCCAATATTTCTGCCAGAGCCACCTACATCTACTACTATTATCTACCTCCCTTTATCTATCTTTCCACTATGATCGCCCACTCTCTTTATGTTCCGCTGTTTCGCAGTTCCTCACTGTCGCGATTACAGCAGAGAAAAGCGCTGACACAGCTAAAAAAAAAAAACAAAAACAACAGGAACGATGACGACGTTTGACGTTAACGCTAACGTCAACGGCGACGGCGACGGCGACGTCGACGTCGACTTCACTACTGCTGTTTTATCTTTTCCTTCGCTATTTTTAACATTTGCAGCAGAGCTATACAGATATGCATACATGCTATTACATTCGTTTGTATACATATATGTATATTCACATATATGTGAGTGTGCATTACATTTTGAAGTTGAAAACTTTTTGTTGTGCTTTATTGCTTAATATTTCATAGTCGCTCGACTCTTGCTGTTGCCAATAAAAACAAGTAAGAGCAGTATAGTCGGGCGCAACCGACTACATATACTCTTTCAGTGCCCAAATATAACTATTTATTATAAAATAGATATTTTGCAATGTGTAACGCCCGTTATAGATTTATCTGAGATGGAGGCGAACAGGCGGCAGCCTTATTAACGGAGAATCATTTTTTTTCATTTGGGCAGATACTGCACAAAACCAATATACCCTATTCACTTCGTGAGCTAGCATAAAAAGTTATGACATCTCCACCCTTTCCACTCATTCGTCTTCTTGCCCTTCCACATTAAATTTTGCCTGCAATTCATTCGCAGAAGTTCGTTGTTGTTATTGAGTCAAAGTCGACATCTGTGTTAATGGGTGTGAAAGAGAGCGATGATTAAACGTTTTGACTTGCAGTTTGCAATTGAAATTGAAATCGAAATTGTTATTGCTTATTTTATAAAAAAATTGTGTTTAAGTTTTTCATATAATCCTTGTCTAAAGTTTTTCCGTTTCATTTCAAAATGACATCAACAACATTTTGTACATAATTTATAAGAACAGCAACAAAACCTACGGCTGCGTCTGAGTCAAATGCCTGAAGCGGTCAAAGAAAACAAAGCAAATACCAACAACAATAATAAGGAGCATGAATGAAAAGCAACGCAGCTGC